CGTCGTCTTCCTCGGATACGTCGTCTTGTGCAGCGTGGCGATGAGTTCCTCATCGCTCAGCGTCGCTTGGTCTGATGGCGCGGCTCGCAGCAGGCGAAGGCGTCGACTGACGAGGCCTCTTTCTGCCGCGGCCTGGATGACCGACGGCCGCGCCTCGGAGGACGCGGCCACTCGTCGGTTGGTTTCGCTTGCGGAACGGCTGGAAAAACGCAGAATCTGCGCGAGAAGCAATCGGACAACGTGGGCTGGCACGATGCAGCAGTCGCCAAGGCGGCGAGCGTCGCCACGAGGTCGCCATCATGACGACCGACGACTGGACGTCTATTTCTTTAAAATAAATGCTGCAGACCGATGTATCAACAAGTGCGATCAGCGATGCAATAAAATATTCCCGCCGAGCTGCATGCATCAAGTGCGAGCGATCGCTCAAGCGCGAGAATCGAAGCGAGTATACATACTTCTAGTACAGTACTGAGCGCTGAGATGCGCGCTCGGTCAACCGTGGTACTTGACGAACGAGCCAGTTGCGAAGGCACGAGCTGTCGATCGAGGGAGGCAGCAATACAGGTTGCAAGATGAAAAATCAGTCGGCAATTCGCATCCTCGGCAGCAGGCACAAGATGCAGCCCCGCAGCGATCCCACTTGCCAAGAAGACGAAACGATACGTCTGTATGAGTGCGCGACGCAAGGTATTAGTGCAGCTCGATGCGACGATCTGTGTCAACGAACGATTAGGTTGCTCCAACGTCGTGCATCGATTGTGTACCATCCATGTCGGCGCTCCTCACGGGGTCTACTTGTGCTTCCACTGTGGAGCGTTCCATCAACCCATGCAACGCGGGCGTTGCATGAGCGCGGGCGTTGCATGTGTTGATGAAACGCACCGCAGTTGGAGCACAAGTAGACCCCATGAGGACCGCAACCACGTGCGCCACCCGTCGACGACATCGACGAGCAGGGCAACGCAATTGAAGACGACGAGCCCGACAACAAAGCCATCGCCGTGAACCTAAACGAAGAGGACGGCGTCGATGGTGCAACCGCGGTCGACGCAGCGAGCCTGGAAGCTTTCAAGGCGATCCAGGTTCACTACTGCGACGACACTGCGTTCCTTCATGTTTGTGTTATCATGTAGTACTGGTCTGGTTGCTCGATCGGCCGCATCATCGAAATGCGAGCGGCGCACCAATTCGTCCAGGCGACACGGACGCGGAACACCCTTTTCGTGTGCCGCAACAGACTCTTGGACACGACAGGTGATCTATCCACCATGTACGCGACTCTAATAGCCTCCTGTACAACGGACTCGCCGTAGGGTCGCCACTTGCGATCGCAATATCAGCATTCTTGTCCTCGGCCGTCAACACCACGCGGCACGACTGGTACTCGGCACGACTGGTACTGTATTGATTCATGCCGATCGATGCTAGTCCGGGGGCACGTCGACATGCTATGTCGCTGCTCATCCATATCCTCACGAAAAAAACGCTCGCGAGCCGCCAGACCATGAGTACGTAGCACAACGGCAATTGCGCCAAACGAGGCCCAACATGAACGTAGCGTTGGGAGCAACTTCGAAACATATCGCACCATCGACACTGTCCTGCGGTTGGTCTCAGGATCAACACGACGGAAGCTCATGTCGGCATGCGTAGGGCCCTGCTCGTCCGTGCGAGCCCGGATCACGCGTCGTGTTGCCTGCTGGTCTCCAACGCGTTTACGCCGTTCCAGTTCAACAACGGCGAACTGCTTGGGATGAGGAAGATTCGCCGCAAGGTCATCTTCGTACCGGTCGAGGACGGGTAAGTCCTGCAACACCTTCGCCCTATGCCTACGTGATCGATGCGTAGAGAGCATTGGCGTCTTGCGGCCTTCATGCGCCACAACGACAGCAGCACGGTCGACGTTAGTGTCATCGGCCCCAAAACGTTGAAAGGCCATGTCCTTACGGGCTACGTCACGGGTTTTGCTTCTGGAAAACGCAACTACGCGCCGTCCTTCGACGCGACGCACGTGGCCGCGATGAAAGCGATTGTTCAAGACGCCCTCTTGGTATGCCGGGTAGAATTATCAGTTGCTGCTCACCAATACCATGCTAGGCATGACCTCAACCTGACGGCGAAGCCGTGGTCAACGAAGCCGAGGTGCATACGATCCGATCCGTGCTTGTGCGTGCGGCTCACTCGTCGATGGACCATAGCTAACGCTGCAGGTCGAACGGTATCGAGCATCGTCGCGCATTTGGACAGCGCGCGCGACCGGCTCGACTTAGCGTATCGCTTGGACTCGATATTATGCGTGCCTCTCAAGATCGGATTTAGGGGACTGGGTTGTGGGTGTTGCGTCAAGACGTGTGCTTGGCGGTCGCATCGGGCAGCTGGGGACTTGTTTGGGATCGCAAACGGCTTCCCGAATTGACCCAGATGGTCGGCAGAGCGATGCGAAGAAGAGCACAGCAAAGGTACCCCGCGATGACAGTACGAGGCCTCACGAGATCGCGTTGTGTAGAAGCAACTTAATCGACAACCGCTGCGTGAACCCCGAGGTCCTCGACGACGAGAACTGCGCGCAGATCGTCGAGCGTATCAATGACGAGGCCACCGATGTTCTCGGAAGCGGCGCGTCGTTTCCAGACTTTTGCGCGCCGCTGAGAAAGGCGGTGGCGTACAAGACGTTTTCCAAGTCCAACTATCGCCGTTGGTGCGTGACCATGGGAGTGAAGCTGCTTTGCTCTCATCAAGGGCTCGCTCTCGGCAACGATGGTTCGACTGTCCGGTGCAGAAAGCTTCTGTACGACGTTGTTCTAGGTCGTATCGCGCCTGCCAACCCGATCCAGATCAACCAAGGTACGACTGTACCCGAAGCTTTATTTACATCTCAACCTAGATTCTTTGGCAAAATCGCCGGTGTGAAAGGTTTCTTGATGCCGATCAACTCTGGGTACGTGTCATCGTCCATCTGAAAAATGT